CCGGGAATTATTAGAAGACACGGGATTCACTGTGGAGCTATGTTTTCCACCTTCAGCCGTGAGTCTGAAATGAAAACTTGAAAGTAACAAATCAATGCACCTATATCAATGAAATCAGTTCGGATTTTTATTGGGTTTTCTGTTTTTAATATTTATTTTAAGTTTTTACCGGAACAGGAAAACAGTGCAAATCTTGAAAGCTCTATTGTTTTCATATCCTATTTATTTTCAAGCAAAAATAGGTTTTGAGAATTTTGAAAACCAACTATTTGTTGTTCTCAGAGGAGTCCGTTTTCTGAAAATTCTGCTGTAAACAGATAGAGAAAACAATCCGCTATGAGGTTTTCTGTTTCCCAAAAAAATGCAACAGATTACTCAATCAAAGGTCACAGATAATAACAAATGATCACAAATTATTTGGGCTACACACGGTAAAAAGTACCTCTATAGAATTTGTGGTAAAAAAAAAATGATATAAGAGGCATTAGATTTAGAATACAGCAAGATGCAAACAGACACATGCTAACGCAAATTTTTGCAAATGTTCAAACTACCAATAGATTTGGGATATAGCTAGGATATAACCATCAACAAAAAATTCAGAACAGAGAAGAAGAACTTGCACTGGGAAAGCGAAACAACAGCCACTGGTACCACTCTCTCCGGAGCGTCGAGAGCAACTGGCAGTCGTAGAAGCACGTGCCCCAGAAACAGTAGAACTAGTGGACAAACGGGCCCCACAACGAGAGGTGTGCTTTCTTGTCTCTGATCCTCTTCTGTTTCCTTTGCAGCTACACTGACGGTTGCTGATTCATTTATTATAGAGTCAGAGGCCCCTTCAACAACGGTGGGAAGTGTAGGTGCCAACCCGTTGAACTTAGTCTCGGATGTGAAGTTGCTTGATTCATCGGGTTTTACAGGTTCTTCGTACCTACTCAACAAAACAGAGCTGTCTCTACGGAAACTGTTTTTCCCCATATGAAGACTAAACAAGGACTCATTTGAAGCAACACTCCATTCCATGGTCGTGCTGGGTTTGCTAGCAAAAATCGAAGATGGAATCCTATTTGGGTCATAGCCTGTCTCAGGCCAGCACATTGTTTGGATTGGAGGAGATTGCTTTGGAGAGGCAGCAATGATGCTCCATTGATAAGAATTCTCAGGTCCACCCCTAGGTGAAATACTCATCATGCTCCACTCTCCATACTGAGGAGGAGGTTCGGGCAGCTTGAGGACTTCTGGTCTCGTTCGACTAGGACTATCTTGGAAGATTTGATGGTGCAATTGTCGAGATTTCTGTCTGCACCCCTTGTCTGAATCCTGGGAAGCATCAAAAGCCGAAGTAGATGAAGAGGGGAAGTGAAATCCGACATGTTTCCTTCTGTAACTACATCGCCACTACCATCAGAATGCTAGAATTTTGCATATTCAATCCCTTACTGTTTTTATTGCCGAATTCTGAGTCTGCGCCTTCTCAGTGTTTTTATAACCTATGACATGTCAAACATTACAAAATTATATTTAGAAGAAAAGATCCATTAGATATTATGACAGATAAGATACATGGCACGAGTTTTATTAGTTCTATGGAGCATAGATGATACATAGTCTTGCCATTGGACATTTCTAGGTTACAATGCGGCACCATAAAGTGCCAAGGCATCTAACTTAACATATATATAGGAAAGTCCGTAAATGTAACAAAATAATGTGTCTAGAACCTCACACCAAAGGGAAGAAAAAGTATTTAAGTGTTTTGCTTTGATGAGATTTTCATCAAACGTTTTGACTGCTAATGTTTGTACAGCTCCTACTGCTACAAGTTCTGAACTCTTCACCACTTAGAAAGTGAGGAACTGGAAAATCAATATCCTTCCAGAAAAACAAAATGAAATAAACAAGAAAGAAAGAAAAGAAATAGATAAGCAACAGGCTAACCAAAAGAATCTAGAATTACAATAGTCAAACACCTTTTCTTTTAATCTGATTGGGTATTAGAAAGAGTGATACAATAGAGTACAAAGAGGTTTTAGGCATATTGCTTCACATTTTACTTTTGGAAATCCTACTGAGGGCTGAAGGATCATCACTCCTCAGGGTACACAGCCAGGAAGAAGTTCAAGGTAAAAAGGAAAAGCACTGGCTTCATGTGAAGATGTGGATTTCCATTGTTCTAATAAGGCTACTGAATCACAGTGCAACTCCTTTTGTTTTTCTGTTGGCAACGCATATGGGTTGGACCCACAATGTACGTAGTCCTGGTGATTTGCTAGAGATAAAAGGCTTTCTATAAAACCATTGTTTCATTGAAATTGTGGCAATAACAGGTTGAAGATATAAGAGAAAGGACCAGGAACTTAAGGAACTTTGTGAGTTTCTGAAACTAAAGAGATATGGAGGATTGCTTTGCTTTGAATTCTAGGGAGGTAGATGACAAATAAACACAATGAAATTCGAAAATTCGTCCTAAATGCAGATGTTTTCATTTGTAGATGCACAATAAACCAACATTTTTCATGCCATTCAAGACCACTCAATAAAGAAAAACCCCATAAATTAAAACCATTCCATTAAACCCACCCCCCCTGTTTATAGGATTAACTAACATATAATTTGCAGTTTTATATTGGCTAATGGGATCATCTAATTTCCAACACAGCATATTTAATTCTGCAACCACATTTTGCTCAAGGGTTTTGCATACTCAAAAGAGAAAGTAGGGGGAAAACAGCATCCAGAATTGAGCTTACCTGCTGAATTCAAGAAAAACCCAGATGACTCCAACGAAATTTTCAAACATATCAGCAGTTTTCCCTCTTCCTCTGAATCAAAGTGAAGCTAGAAAATTCTAGAATGACAAAATTAAACTCGAAACGAGAAGGAAACATTAAGGAGGTTGAGAAAGCAGAGATTCAAGGGAAAGAAGGGACCCTGGCCAAATGACAGCGAGGAAAGGGGTTAGTGTTTGATGAGACGATGATGGCGACGAAAAGAGTAGATTGAAGGGAGGGTTGAGAGGGTATCTCGGGGAAGGGCGCAATTTAGAATTTAGAGGCTCGTTGTTTCCATTGACGGATAGAGCTAGCGTTGGCGCCATTTAGCTGCATTCCTTTATGAAAGCAGGCCTATTTTCATCTTCTTATTTAAATTTCATCGCTCTATATTCGAGATTTATTTTTTAATTTTGAACTCTGAGTTTGACTTTTAAGTCCAAATACTTCTAAAAAATATATAATTTCATAATTTACTAAAAGGATTTATTTTGTAGCATATTGTTAATTTATAATTTCTTTATTTTGAAATTTAAAAATTATAATATTTAATTTTTTAATTTTTCAAATTAAAAAGTAAAACTGATAAACTCAAAAGATAGTAAGCAAACAAACCCGTAGTTAAATGTTATATGGATAAACTAATTTGAAATTGGTTTAGAAAATAGTTTTTGTTTTGTTTTGAAAATAAATCCAGTTGAACTGGTTTGTTTTCACAACTGTTTCAGGATAACGTTTAGAAAATAAAATAATTTCTAAATAAACGAAAATTTGTCTTTTATTAGAAACTATTTTTACTTGAAAATAAAATGGTACGGAGAAAGTGTTTTCAAGGTGTTTTCCTGTTTTTCAAAACACAAACAAATTCTAAGGATAGAAAGCAAAATACAAATCCAAACAGATAATTGAATATTAAAACTTAAATCTTGACCGCAGAAAGAAATTACTTGTAATTTTGGACGGTGGATCCTAAAACTATTAAAGCCAGCTTTGCTATACATCACCCAAACAAAGATTAAAGCCAAAAATAATTCTTATTCCAACTCTGCCCACACAAAACTACAAAACAGGGGAGGGTGAGTTTGAAAATAAGATGAAAGCTGAGTGCAGATTACACCAAGTGCAATAGAGGTTCAATTTTTTTGAGCTATCCATTTCATCTTCCTATCATCATCTTTGTTCTCCAGATGCTCTCTCTCTCTCCCTCTCTCTCTCTCCCCGTAATTTTTGACACAGACAAGAATGCTTCAAGGAGCTGCAAGGGCCCTAACGATAGAGGGAGCAGTGCAGAATCTGCTCTCCAGAAACGGACCCCAAAGCTTCACATGTAAGCCCGGTACTTAGTTGTTTTTCCCTTTCTTTTTTCAAAAACAATAATGGAGTGCCTTTAGCTTCCAGATTCCTTTGCAGGTCCCATCAAATGCCAGAAGTTGAAGTATCTAGCTGTAACCCAGAAATTGAATTCCACTATTGAACTCACCCAGATGGAAAGCAAGAACAGGGACTCAATAAAGGTTAATCTAGAAACTTCCTGCTTAATTTCCATTCATTCTTGTATTTTTATCTCCACATGAACTCTATACATTCTGGAATGTGTTCTTAATTAATTGAGATCCGAATTCCCCCCAATCCGGGTTGGTTGATTGCGGGTTCACCTCATATAAAGAGCATGCGAGAAAGCCTGGAAGTTAGAATCGGCTTGTATCTCAATCCAAAAGAAGTATTTGGTTTGTGAGTGTTTCTGTGCTTCGGGCCTTATTGTGATGTCACGAGAAAGTTCCATTCGTAGTTTAATTTGTGAGTTTTCTTGGGTTTGACATGAGATATTTTCACCTAAAAATGGGAGCAAACTCTATTGATACACACCCAGAAATGATTTTTCTAAGTAAGTTTCAAAAAATTTCATGGGTATTTGAACAAAACTTGAAATCCAAGGCCGAACCACTTAGAAGCCCTTCAACCAAACAGTTAAGAATGCCTATTCTTGTTTAATAATATGGTGGAGTTATTCTAGAACAGTTCCAAGGCCGAACCACTTAGAAGCCCTTCAACCAAACAGTTAAGAATGCCTATTCTTGTTTAATAACATGGTGGAGTTATTCTAGAACAGTTCCAAGGCCGAACCACTTAGAAGCCCTTCAACCAAACAGTTAAGAATGCCTATTCTTATTTAATAATATGGTGGAGTTATTCTAGAACACTGTTTCCTTGCATTATTAGGTCTGTGCTATGAGGAGGAGGAGGGCAAACATACAAACAGAAACTTACGTCCTAATAGAACCTGGGAAGAATGAGGAGTTTGTCTCCGAGGAAGAACTGAGAGAGAGATTAAAGGGTTGGCTCGAGAACTGGCCGGGGAAGGCCCTGCCTCCGGACCTTGCAAGATTTGAGGACATTGATGACGCTGTTTCTTATCTTGTTAAATCTGTTTGTGAGCTTGAAATTGATGGGGATGTTGGCTCAATCCAGTGGTTTGAAGTTCGGCTGTGAGGAAACGATATGAGAGATTTCATCAGTAGAGCATATCTTGCCACAATTTTAATCAATTGCATCATCTTCGATATGCAGGCTGCTTTGTTTCTACTCTCTCTCTCTCTCTCTGTCTACCCTGCTCCAAATCTCTTTTGAAAGGTTGCTCTTATTCAAGTCTAAAAATATTGACCTGTTTCAAGTTGAAAGATTAAATCGATTAACAAAATTTTCAAACCTCACGCCGTTGATGCACAATGGAAAGTCCAGTTCCTTCTTCCAAAAGTTTTCATCATGAAGACAGAACATTATTTTGGCGCAACAAAGCTCAGCATTGCACAAAATACACCTGCACGAAAAACCCAACTAACATGTACATCTCTTTCAAATCCTTCCTTAAATTGCCCACTCAAAAAAGCATTGGAAAATCATGTCAGCAGCACTGATTCTTCAAGCTTGGAAAAGACCCCCCTCCTGAAAATCCAAATCTTGAATTACATTGTTGAAATTTGAAAAAAAAAAAAAGATAGCAAAAAATTTCACATCTTAAATGCATTTGTACCTTGGTTTGATTTATGGTTGGAGGTAGGAGCACACCAGGCTTCCTCCTGCTCCTGGCAAGCAGGCCCTTTGAGATAGGGGACACCATAAGGTCAGTTGGGCTAGTATACCTGCAAAGAGAAGGAACTCAAAAATAAACAAGAAATTTAAAAAAAAAAAATGAAAGGGTTAAAATTGCACTGTTAATCCATGTCCCTATTCTTTAAATTTGATTAATTCTTTCCCTGAGCTTTAAAAATTGTTCCACTTCCATCACCAATTACCACTACAAGATCACATGGGTAGATAAGAAGAACGTAAAATGACTAAATCACCCCTTATACTGGATCTGAAGGGTTGTGAAAGAAATGATTTCTACACGTAAAAGGAAAAAAAAAGAAATCAGACAGATTAAGGAACCCAATTGACACGCTGTGGCTCCAGAAAAGAAACAAGTTTTTGAGAATCTGGATAGGTAGACTTACCTTTCGGGGTATTTCAGCGCCTTGGGGACCTTGAGGCGATCGGGGGTAGCGCCCGATATGCAAGAATGGTGGCCGGAACTTCGGGACTTCCGATCGGATTGTTGGCTTTCAGGTGGGGTAATGGGGTCAGATTGAACATTTTCGGATCCAACTGGTGTTTTGGGAGGCGTTCGGGGAGCCTTTTCCATTGCAACGCAGAGAGAGAGAGAGAGAGAGCAAATCAAATGCTCAAGTTTCATAGTTTGATTAATCATTTAAGAGGTGGGAGCACTGGGCAGTGACCGTTTGCGATGGACTGTAACGGTCGAATTGTGGGTCATACAAAGATAAAGCAGTATATTTCTTCCAGATTCCAGAATTATGTGGAAAATTTCGGACTTGACGGGCATATGTCTGTCTTTTCTCCATAAAATGAAAAAGTATGCGCCCTTGGATTCCCGGCACTTCTTACAAAATGGAAGTAACCCCACACCCCACCCCGCCCCCCAAAAAGTACAAAATGGAAAAATGCTTGTAATTGACGCCATGTGGTGATCTAATGAATCAGTAATTTTAACAATTATTGTGTTATAACCTAAATCCAGGCATGTAACTGATATTAGAACCTGCTGACTTTAGTAAATCTTAAAACATCCATCCATATAAACTAAACTCATCCCATCAAATACATATAAATAATCACGTGATTTCTAATACACAAGTCAAGACTTTTCTGAGAATAATAAGAAATAACATATAGAATACAAAGAGCATGATACAAAGAAAGCCCGTACATCAAATAAATCAATGGGGACACACTCCATCGTTGGCACACTCACCGAGGCATGAACAGAAAATCCAATTTGAAATAATGATATAACGTGAGTCACGAAACTCAATGAGTATGGATAATACCTAATCTATATATGTAAGGATATGTATCATACCAAATGTTAAAAGCATACGCATACATATACAGTAAGCAATTTTAGTATCAAAATATACATACGTGGGAGTATAATAATCATATTATGAAACTCCAGCCTCATGACTCTCACGATTGGAGAATCCACAAGCTAAACAATCGGAGGCATCACAATCACAATCACATCAAATTGCCATCTCCTAATTAGAGGAATTTTCCATCTCGATGATCGGGTACAAATCACACTCACCAGAGCAACACAATTCCAGCACATAACACAACTCCCCACATATAAGTCAAAAACAAATATATACAGTTCACAACTGAAAACCAATATCACATTTCAATATAACTCACTAACCATCTACAAACCACATAACACATATCCCATATGTAACATATGCCGAAATACAATTTACAAAATATATAATCAGTCATGCCAGAAAACTATAGTAAAAAATGCATGCATAAAAAGGGGATCATCACTCATAGTATAGATGTTGAGCCAAAAATAAGTTACGGGTCACCCTTACTCGACTCAAAAATCCGGGTGCGCCTCCACCAACTCAAAAATAAGTCTTGAGTCACTCTCACCCGACACAATGCACAAAATCACAACTGGCACTAAAACCGACACAAGAAACAGGCTCAACAGCTTAAAATCGAGCTTGAATCCCACACCAAAACCCCAGCACTCGTCTCGAGGCTCACTACCCAACACCTCAAACCCACATGACTCAAGTACACATATCCAAATCCCTTAAAAACCTTTGAATCATATTGAACCGGTCTCCAAAAACCTTGAACTGGCCTAAACTAGCCTAAAACTACCTTAAACCAAACTAAATTGGCCATGGAAATGTCAAAATCAGATTAAATTAGCCTCAAGACCCTAGGAACTGGACTAAACTCGTCATAAAAGCCTCTGAACTAACCCAAAAACTTTAGAACCGGGCCTGTTCAGCTAAAAACCTTCAATTTTTGGGCAAACCAGACTTCCCCAAACCCCTGGACCAATTTGATTCAACAGATCTCATCTTCCTAAACTGAGAACTGGTTAAATTTCCCAAATCTAAGTTAAAATGACCATTGAACTGGCAGTCAAACCTTGAACCATCACTGGGTCAATTTAGTTAACAGAAACCCTAATTTTCCTTGGACATATTATCCTTACTTTGGTTATGTTATTTCAATTTAACCTTGTCCCTATTTTGCCTTATCCTCTAGGATAACCTTTCCCAATTCCAATTGACCGAGTTGACTCAGTGAGTCAACCTACAATTTTGGTCAACTAGCCAAGTCAACTCAACGAGTTAACTCGCTTAGACCTAAGCCAACCACTTGACTTGGGTCGACCAAACAATGCCCTAAGCCCACATGACTCGTCCTCAGGCAGGCCCACCTAAAGCCTAGCCCACTTGGCTAACCTGGCTCAAGCCCAGCCAGCCAAGGCCCAACAACCTAGCTCGGAACCTGGCCCAATCCACCCAGATTTGGGTGGACCCATCTAATTGGGCGGCCCCGCCCACTGGTTGTTGTCCCAAAAGATAACTTAAAAGGGGGGATGCATTGAGTATTTTTCACAAAAGCTAAATATAAAAAAATTTAAAAGATTAAATTAATGCAATTCACCTAAAGTAAATATAAACTATTATAAGTAAAATTAAAAAGTAGGGATATGAGATGCAAACTCTTTTATAATAATTCGACTTACTACCCAAATCTACGTCCACTCTCTCGAGCTCCAACCGGTCGAAGTTCCACTAAGTCCCTTGTACTTGATGGAGTCCACTAAGTTCCTTATACTTGACAGAGACCAGAAATCTCAAGTACAAACAAAGTCCCTTACATTTGACAAAGGCAAGAAATCCTGATTAGAAAGCCTTTGATTCAGTGAGTTTTAAACACCAATACAAATGCTAATGAAAATGAAGTAAAAGCGTAGCAATTCCTTTCAAGTAGATTAGCTACCACTCATGTACAAAAATAATCTTACTTCAAAGAGGCACTCTCAAGAATAAAATAATTTACTCTATACATTTTTTGATCTAGTAATAAATAATGTAGTATAAAGAATTTTAGAGAGAGATTAAGAACGCTTTGAGAGCTTGTTCTTATATGCTTCTCCAATTAATCTATACTCCTTTTATAAGCAAAAACATCAAAGAGACATTAGAGAGACGTTGGCCTTTGTGGAAGACAAAATTATTTGTCAACAGTAACTATACATAGGCTCGTTTCAAAAATTCAAATAAAATGATTTTGAATATTCAAAAACTCTTAATAAATTCGTGAACATTCTTCAATAAGTCTATTTTCAAACACAAAAAGAATCATTGACTTATCATGCATCATTTGAAAGAAATGATCAAAAGTTCAACGATATGTCAGACTGTAAAATTGCTTTTAATAAAAGTTGTTGGTCAAATTCAAAATTGTCTAAAAATTTGAATTTTTCATCAAAAATAATGAATTATATATTGTTAAAAAGATTACAACGTCTACTTTTATTAAAAACTAGATTTGTATAAATTGCTTTTATATTTTGAGATATGATAAAAAAAAAAACTGTAATATACTCATTTTGTTTGCTGACAATGTGACTCAGCAGAATAGTCCACTTTCAAAAATTATATTTATCAATTTATAAGTGCAAATCGTACATATAATATATAAATTTAAAGCTCAGCACGTTTAGTTTACAAATAAATTTAACTTGAAATTTTATTTATATCATAAGTCATGTTTTAGTATTTAAAACTTATATCATGTAGATTTCAGAAATAATTTTTTCAGAGAATGATGTATAAGATTGATGTAATAAATTGCTTTAATATAAAATATATATAATACAAATTATATATTAAAATAAAGTTATTTGAGTCTAATTTTATATAAAATTGACTTTATTATTTTTTGACTTTTTATAATAAGATATAATCAATTTACTATATATATGTCTAATTTGACAGTTTCACATTTTACTACATGTAGTGTATGTAGCTAAATAATAAATTTAATATTATAATTTGTCCATATTATTCATTATAAATATATACATATAACAATTTTAATTTTTTTTATCATTAAAA